GAGGAGCTTGAATCATCAGAATTGTTGATGTCAATTATAAGGGGTTCAACTTGGGTGTCAATGATATTGTCCATATCCCACATTTTGGTTTCAACCTTCTCTTGGACATGGTCAATACATGTTCTCCATTTTGCTGGCGTAATTCTATCGACAGCAACATTAAACAGTTTTTTAAGGTCAGAAAACTTAAAAGTGCTGTTATTTGACGCCACGTATTGCTTGATGTCGGCCCAAATCAACTCGATAGGATTCAGTTCGCAGTGATAGGGAGGCAGCCTGAAAATCGTTTTATTTTGGTTTTTGGCCATTTCGTCAACACTTTTTAAATCATATTTATACTTATGTTGCTTGACTATATTTATCAGCTCAGCTTTGACCATTGTTCGGTCGAAGTCGATCTTCTTTGAGACAAGCCACTGTTGAATGTCTGCCTTTTTGGTGGCCATTGTTGGAATTTTTTCCAATTTTCTGGAGTGGTACGGGGCATTATCCATCACAATAATTGCGTTATCATCAAGTGTCGGCAAAATTTTTTTGAACCAATTTTCAAATGAGTTACCATCCATTTCTTCGTGATAGTCTCCAGCTTTTTGGATTCAAATGCCCACAATGCTTCAGGAACAAATCCATCTACGCTACCTATGTGGCAAATGATCAGGCGTTTTCCCTTGCCTGAAAGTAACTAGTTATTTTACTTCTCAGCGAGCGCACTAAATGACGAAATTAAGCTACTTACTCTTTTTAGGTTAGTGTAGGATAGGGTCTTAGATTAGTTTTTGGGTGAAGGAAATACTCAGAAACTTGGATGAGATAGCAAAACTGAGTTCGGAGCTTCCAAATCATTGATTCGATCAGAAAATGAATTATCTGCATCCAAAAAAGTTCATATACTTCGAAACTTACCTGCAGGATTTTTCAATCCCGTCGAAAGGCCATCTAAAAAAGCCTGCCTTGAGGACCTCACAGATCTGTCTACCCAAACCTTTCCCTGCGTATGCCCCGCGTTCACCCATGTTTCGTCTAAATAATAAATTTTTCTTCCTTCAGCGCGGAATTGCCTAATTTTTCTAAGGTATTCTCTCCTCCAAATAACAATTTCCCTCCTTTTCTATCAATAAACTATTCCTTCCTCTTTTCAAAAATCGAAGTCAAGACGTGCATAAAACGTTCGCGCTCATAAACGGGTATCCGTAACTGATTACAATCCTGTGCGTGGTGACGAACCATCAACGTGACGCTGAGAGTTCCCTCTACTATGCAGCGTTGCCAGGCTTAATGTCACAATGATCATGTTTTATTGGTAAAATTGTCAGAAATCGCCGAATGTTGAACAGAAACATTACAAGAAGTCTAACCTTGAAATGTGAGGCTACAAATCGATATTCTTATAGGGGGGAAGGGTAGGGAGCTGTTATGGTTTCTATTAACCTTGGTGAAAGTTGGAAACGGTAATATCATATATGGCATACATTCGGTTGAAGGTGTGTGCACGGAAAATAGATTGCGTATAGGATTTTAATAGATAAATCTGCACAAAAAACACAAAAGGAGATTTTTGTATTTCCCTGAAGAATATCTCAAGGTTATTTCAGATGTACTCATCGAAACTTAATGGAAGGATTATCGAAACCTTATTATCAATTGCGATAGGGCCACATACCTCGACATCGCATTAATGTGAAAAATAAGACAATAGGAAAAAATTCCCTCACTGATGCTATCTCTTAGGAAAAATTTTACTATAAAGATTGCACAAAAATTTTCTTCACCTTTTTGAGCTTGTTTTCGCATCTCCGTATATGCCGTTCATAATTTGCTGCAGATCAAATTGGAATATACCTTTGTGATGCCATTTATTGTTATATAATGTCCTTTACAACTGTTATTGCACGTATTGCACCAACAGATTGATTTGTGATCCATGCGAATGTGATCAACCACTCTGGCGAAAACTCGCCGAGCGTGGCAACCGTGCGACTTTGTCTGGAGGCTCGTCGCTACAAGCCAATCAGGAAGAGGCCGACAGAGCGCCATGGCTACCGATCACGCGTTGATCACGAATCAACCACTGTTTACGATTACTTTGTAGCTTCGTTAGATACACTTTAGTTGCTACGCTCAAAACTTTTAAGACCGGAACACGCTGTATGCCTGATAGCTCAATAGTGCTCCAATCGTAAAATTAAACCCCGATAAAATTCTCTCTTCAACAGATGACGGTACTGGCCCTTACCTAGACGATCAATGTTATTGCAGTTCTTGTCAAAGTTTTAGCGCTTTTACGCTCCGGAGGTCGATGGAAAAAAATTTAAATTACTTACTTTCCAGGTTCGACGGGAACGGTTCAAAGTTTGAAGTTGTTTGTTAGTGCTGAGATACTTTCCTGCTGTAGTAGGTGGAGTAAAACTAAAACGTTGCACGAACTAACAAACGTTAGCTGGGATTTAATATTTACGTGCAAAAACTTTGAAGATTGTTCTGGGGAAGGGTTCGTAATTATTGTCGGTTTGTTAATTTAAAGTCTGAAACTTATACTGTGTACCATCTCAAACTTTTCTCGTGGTTTTCATGTCGATAATTCCCCAAATTCCTCTGGAAAATCAGAACCACATGTGTTGAAAATAATAATAATAATAATAATAGATCGTCTTTATTTAGGGGGCGAAGTTTAGCATAATGCTACTCTGCCACTTGACCCAAAAAAACCTGCTTCTTGCATATTTTCTATTTTTGTTAGTTTGATATATCTTTTCTTAGGATTGTCGTGTAAATGGTTTCCTTAACTGTTGGGGAATGAAAGCTATTTATTTTCGACCATTCGCGTATCTTCATACCACCGTCATAATCATGTATTCTGGTTACACGCGAAAATAACAGTGATAGCTTACACAATTCCTAGAAATATAGAACGCAGTTTGTTACAAATTCGTCGAAACTTATCCTGTGAGTGTCAGTTTGCTAGAGCTGTTTAATGGGCCAATGATTGTAACCGTACGTGGACACAAACATCAGTCGACCAATCGTACGCGCGCGTTCGATGTATTTACATCGAATTGTATCAATCTATTAGAAATTGAATCCGCGTTTGTCTCATTTACATACAGTGCTTTAATCAAATTCGTTATCCAGGATATTATTTGATTACAGCGACCGGTTGTGCGTTATGCATATCGGAAATACGTACAAAGCTTTCAAACAAAACAGTTTAACACATTGATGCATTTGTAAATTGAACGCTAGTGTTGGAAATTTATGTTTTCGTCTCATCGCGAACATAGACGGGAAGTATCCCGATTATATTAGAGACAACTAGCAGGGGAAAAATTCATAAAGGAGGAGAATAATTGAGATAAACAGGCTAATAAAAGCGTGTTTTTAAAAAAGCTAGCGTGGTTCTCTTATCTTTTGAGGAACTAGGCATCGATAGAAGAGTCGCTCAACAGGTCGAACTCTAAAGAATCAATCTTAACTCTAAAGAGCTAAGTCCACTGATCAACAGCCAAAAAATATCCTGAATAAAATCAACAAAATATTACTATTTTTAATGTGCTAAAACCGGAATGAAACTTATTTTTTCAATATTAGTTCAAGTTTTAGAGATACGGTAATTATATGTGTTCCTGCTGTGACAGTGTTAATATACTGTAATTCACAAGAATGCACGTGCTACATTTTTATATTCGGCAAGGAAAGATGATGTAATCGGCATGATTGTGTTACGTTATACATACGTGTACATTATATTGTTTTATATTAGCCATTTTTTCCTCAGTTGGCTGACAGCGTTCATGCAAGATGTCTCGAAAGTGTGTAAACAATCCATATCAGTTTTGTTACGTGTGTGGTGATGTGACTTTTGCGTCTCAGAGACGGTCTATTACTCCACTAATAACAAAGTCATATCAGCTTTATTTCGGTTGTAAACTAGGTGATCAAGACAAACATTGGGCACCCCACATCTGCTGTAATACATGTGCTTCAAGTCTGAGGAGCTGGTTAAATGGCAAAAAACGGTCTATGCGCTTTGCTGTCCCAATGGTTTGGAGAGAGCCTACAAATCATATCCCTCTATTGCATGAATTTTGTTTTTCTTTGTTAAGATTTTTTTATTTCATGTTTTATGTATGTGAATGGTCATAGAAATAAGGCACAAACATTATTTTCAAAAAATTTATTCAGAACATAAAAAAAAATTTGTGTTCCCAATTGGGAACATCATGCGTTTAAGGATACATACATATATTTCCAAAAGAGACAAAACCTTTCAATTACAATGGAATTCCTTAAAACAATTGTTGGTAGAATTGAAGCATAAGTGTACAGAACATTTGTCACATTTCACTCTGGATTTTCCTTTGCATAGAGGCTTTTTGCATCGTTCCCGATTCACTGTGTAAGACGGCCAGTGTCCGAAATTATCAAATTTCATTGCATCGGTAGGTCTGTTTTCCAGACATCTTCTTTTTAGGGGAATAGGTAAGGGAGAGTTACGCGGAGAATTGACACTTGTCGACCCCTTTTTCTTTGTGCGGTTTTTCCAACCCAACATAAATCTTGAGCTAAGGTTGTTTTGAACTCTAAAAGAGATACATTTTCATTTCTATTTAGTTGCCTGTTAATTCGTCTGGATAGTAGCCAGGCATTGACAATAACAGTATCAATCATGTGAAAAAAAATTCGTAAGTACCATTTTTTGCTTTTTAGTTTTATGGGATACAATCCCAGAAGAGAATCCTGCAAGTCGACGCCACCCATATGCATGTTATACACTGCTACTATGTCTGGGCGTTCTATCTCCTTCTTGCAATTTTCCGATTTGAAAAATCGTCGTACTTTAGTAATTGGCTCCGTTCCAGAAAATGTGGAAATCAGGGAGACTATTCTATTGTCATACCACTGTACAGCATGGATAGACACACCGTCAACAGTGGCAGTTTTTTCAATATAGGCACCGCGGCCTCTTTTTTTCATGTCCTTTTCTGACATAATATCTAGTCCTTTTAGGCGATTTGATCTAATGTTGCAACACTTTGTATTCCTAGCTTTTGTAAATAAGCCAACAAGTATAAGCTGGAAAAATAGTTATCATAGTATACTTTGTGGTTCATGTCTCGAGGAATGGGTCTACACAAACGTACAATAATGTTACTAGCAGCTCCAAGATTTGGTTCTCCTGGCACTAAAGTCAGATCTGCTTTATTACTACAAAGCTCAAAGTTTGAGGTGAATCCAGACACTCCAGACAATATATACATTTTGTAGCCCCACTTGTGCGGTTTTTTTGGATTGTAAGTTCTCAGTGAAATTCTTCCCTTAAAGGGAATTATTTGTTCATCGCAAGATAAGTGCTCCTCGAACGGAATTTTTTGGCAAGCAGTTCTTATCTGATTTAGGACTGGCTCGATTTTATCTGTATTTTTAGTAGCAGAATTATTATCCGAAAAATGAATGAAGCGTTTAAGCTCTTCAAACCTATTGATAGGCATCACATCTGCAATTTGAGGTATCCTAGTACCAGCAGCCCAGTGTCTCCTATTTTTTATCTCACCTTGATCCTCGTCATCTGATAGTTCCGAATCCTCGCTGTCAGATGGAATACCGCGAATAAACTGAACTTCAACCCTTTTACGCCCATAAAATGCACCTGGTTTTATTTCAGGGAAATCCATTGTCGTTTGGATCTACATATAATAGAAAATGCTATTTAGTAAAGAATGGAAGACAAACAATTTCCGTTATTGACCTTGGATGCATAATGTTCCCGAGCGGGAACATTAGGGTTATGTTACCTCGTGGCAACAAATATCATCAAAATTAATTACATTTTGTACAGTATTATTCAAACAATAATAATTAGTAATAAAAATAATAAAACACTCACCTAAATGCAGCAAAAGAGCTATTTCTTGTAATAAAAGTGAGATAAAAATCTGGAACGGCCGCTTGCGACGCTGTCAAATCAAATGCAAACCATGAGGTGCTCCTAGCAACATCTATCGGTTGAAAAACTATACGGAACAGTGCCCAATGCCTCAAGTTTGGATCTTACGCATTAAATGGGGATCTAAACGTTAGATGACGACACTAGACAAGCTAAAAATATAATGTTCCCGTTTGGGAACCATATGCAATAGAGGGATATTAATGATTGTTACTTTTGCATGGTACCTTGTATTGGACAAGCCACAGGTATGTCCAAGAAAAAAAAATCGGTTATTAACTACCCAAACATACCCCCAGAATCCTACACTTGCGAATCAGAAAACGAATCAGATCATGGCGATCGAGTGATTCGTCAGGAAGAAGATATGCCATCAACGTCAAGAGATCCTGATTTTATACCGAGCACGTTATGCCACCAACCGCACAAAATAACACAGTCAGAATTAAATGATCTTGTAAGAGATTTAGATCTTCCAAGATGTAAGGCAGAGTTACTTGGATCAAGACTGCAGCAGTGGAACTTGTTAGAAGACGTTGTTTCGGTATGTGTTTTTCGTAAACGCCACAAAGACTTGGAACCATTTTTCAATATGGAGAATAACTTGTTTTTCTGCAGTAACATTAACGGCTTACTGGCGGCTTTAAATGTAAACTATAACCCAGAAGAATGGAGATTGTTTATAGACAGTTCAACATTGAGTTTAAAGGCAGTGTTATTGCATATTGGAAATATTTTACCATCTCTTCCTGTAGGGTATGCAGTTCACATGAAACAATCATATGATAATATGAAGTACCTATTGACATGCATAAAATACGATGAGCACCAATGGCATATTTGTGGCGATTTGAAAGTTGTTGCACTTTTACTTGGGCTGCAGCTAGGCTACACAAAGTTTTGCTGTTTTTTGTGTGAATGGGACAGTCGGGCAAAGGTACTTCATTACACCAGACAAAACTGGCCTGTTCGTCAATTCCTAGAGCCAGGTCAAAAAAATGTACAGCATATACCATTAGTAGATTCGAAAAAAAATGTATTACCACCACTGCATATCAAGTTGGGCCTAATGAAAGACTTTGTCAAGGCATTAGACAGAGATGAGTCAGCTATTCAGTACCTGCGTCAGAAATTTCCAAGACTAAGTGAGGCAAAGGTTAAAGAAGGTATTTTTGTTGGGCCACAGATTCGAAATATTTTGAAAGATACACAGTTTGAAAACACTTTAACAGGTATTGAAAAAACTGCTTGGAATGATTTCCGTCTGGTGGTCACTAATTTCTTGGGAAATAGAAAAGCTGACAACTATAAAACCCTTGTCAAAAATATGCTGTCATCGTATCAAAAGATGGGCTGTAATATGTCTCCTAAGATACATTTCCTACACTCACACCTGGACTTTTTTCCTGACAATTGCGGAGCCGTAAGTGATGAGCACGGCGAACGTTTTCATCAGGATATTTCAACAATGGAAAAAAGGTACCAGGGAAAGTGGAATCCTTCCATGCTTGCAGACTACTGTTGGACTCTTGGTAGAGATGCTCCAGAAACGATCCATAAAATAACAGCAAAAAGACAGCGCATATAGTGATTCTTATAAGTATATGAATCTTGTTACTTCTTTTAATATATCATTAAAAATAAAATTTTTTTTTCTAAACCGCAACTAATTTTTTTATTTCATTGTCATTTTTGGATTCAGCGCCCCAAAATTAACAAAGAAGTGCACTTTTCCCACAAGATACAATTAAAAAACTAAAATTTGTTGTCCAGTGTTCTTTTCGCCAGCGGTTGTCGTTGACATAAAAATGCCAGCATTTTTTGACAGTGTTCGAGATCGGTTTTGATAATGACGTAATTAATTATGTTTCAACGACGAAATTAATGCGCTGCTTTACAAATTGGTTTGGACTTACACGTAAATCTATCAGTTTCTTTGCGAACGTCAGGGACATTTGTGGTGGATTTCACCTGTGGAAATTTGTATTGTCACCAAAACCCTCATCCCATCCCAGGGTAATACCAGTCGAAAATTACAGAAGCATTTAATACCCATTTTTCAGTGATACAGGTTTCTGTCCCCAATATAAATGAGGGAACCCGCAAATCGACCCCAACCGCACGACGCTGCTCGCCGCATAGAAGGGTCGCGCCTGCGCGCTGCACCGCCTGTACCGGCAACGCCGCATGTTCCAGAACATCGAAGAAGGCAGCCGTCGGTAACGCGCATCAAGTCTGAGCTATACTACAACTATATAAAACTGTAATGACTCATACGCGTGATCAGAGCTCGATCCCGGCTTCCTTCCAGTACAGCCGTATAGCGTACGACATATGTCGTTTCTGTGGCTTTGCGGTGGTCAACAGCACAGACAGAGATGGAAATAATGGCTGATTGTTCTCCGCCGGTAGAACCAATGAAATCAAAGACGCGCCTCGACCGGCAGACTCATAGGCGTCGGCAACGCATTGGAACGTGTTTCGTTGAGCGATCGCATATTGTGTGTTTTTATAAGAATTGTTATGTGATTGTTATTGTTGTGGTTTCTGTGGTTACTGTTTTGGTTATACTTAACCATGGAGAGTACAAATGGCACGAGTGGAAGTACTGAAAGCCAGGGAACAAGTAGACGGCTTCGTAAAGCACTGAAGAGGGACGCGAAAGAAATCGTGCTCAACATGTTCAATTATCTGAACAGAACTATGTCGCAGGGAGATGCACTCGCGCGTTGTGAAAGTATGACAGGCGTTCCAGAGTGGACCAGTCGCAGGGTGGAGCATGAAAAGGAGAAAACTGGAGCTACTACTGATCCAAAGTTTAATTTGAAGGGACGAAATGCCGTTAAATTGGATGACGATAGCAAAATGGCGTTAAGGCGAACCGTACATTCATTCTTCTTTAGGAATGAGATACCAACCCTCAAGGCAGTACATGCAGCGATCAAGGAAAATGAAATTATACCCCAAATGAGCGTCGAGGTAATGAGGAAATCCCTGCACGAAATTAATTTTCGTTACGAAACGCGTAATCGGACGTCAGTATTGATAGAGAGACCTGAAATAGTCACCTGGCGTCGAAAATACCTACGCGAAATGATTGAATATAGGCGACAAAGCAGAAAAATCTATTATTTGGACGAGACATGGGTAAATGCAGGTCACACAGTTAAAAAAACCTGGATAGACAAAAATGTAGTGAGTAACCGACAAGCAAGCATTGAAGGTTTGTCAACAGGTCTTCGTGGACCGTCAGGGAAAGGTCAAAGATTGATCGTAACTCATATTGGTAGCGATAGTGGCTTTTTAGAAGAGTGTGACTTGATTTTCGTCTCTAAGAAAGGAGGTGACGAAATGAATGCCAGCTGCTTCGAGAGCTGGTTTAAAGGGGTGCTTCAGCGAATTGAGCCCAACTCTGTGATCGTCATGGATAATGCTTCCTACCATAGTCGTCGAGCCGAACGTGTACCGACTATGGGATCTCGAAAAAGTGACATGCAGCAATGGTTGCGCGAAAAAGGAATCCCGTTTGACGATTCATGTGTGAAAGCGGAATTGTATGAAAAAATTAAACAGCACAAACCTGCAAACATTAGTTACGTGACTGATGAGATGGCCCGTCAATGTGGTGTCACTATGCCGCGGTTACCGCCCTACCACTGTGAACTGAACCCAATAGAGCTCATCTGGGCTCAAGTGAAGGGTTATATTGCGCGCCATAACACAACCTTCAAATTACCAGACGTTAAGGTTTTACTTGAGACTTCTATACACCTAGTAACGCCCGAAGCTTGGCAGAATGCTATCCGTCATGTTGTGAAGGAAGAAACAAAATGTGGCAGCTTGACCACCACATCGACACCATCATAGAGCCAGTTATAGTCAATTTCAACGAGGAAAGCGATAGCGACAGTTTATTCCTGTCAGATGTAAGTGGAAGCGACGATGAATAAAGGTAATTCCCAAATTTTTGACTTACAATATGTTTCAAACCACTCTTTATTAAGCATGTGACAAATCTAGTTCACCCATGTTAAACATTCATACCCCGCCTATGAACAGCCGACTACTGGTAGTTAAGTGATGTTCACGTGAACATCGATGAGTCATTACAGTTTTAGATAGTTATAGTATAGTCGATGAGTGAGAAAGACGGCGACAACGACGCGAGCAATTATGTGTCGCATAAACAATACGAGATATTGTTTGTTATTCTGTTAATATAGTTGTTAATCGGCATACAGTGTTCGTCTGTAACCCCTAACCCCCATCCCACATACATATCGTTTACCAATAATTATAACTGTTTTTCGGGTTTTTAAGAATCCTACAATATATACAGGGTGTCCCAGAATATGTGAATCAAGTTGCAATGGGAGATACCTTAGATAATGACCTCTCAATTGCGGTAAAGACCTGACAAAAAAACGTGTAACCTTTGCGTTACAACAAAAAATCAGTTTTTTTGAAAAAGTATGACTTTTGTCAAACTTTCGACGACAGGTGCCGCGTTTAGGGTTTATTTTCATTTTTTTCGCTATTGTTAGCGAATGATTGAAGCATGAAACTACAAACAGTTTTATTCTAAAAGTCACGTAATTTTGAAATCGCAGCGCTATTTTGGAATTTTTTTTCTGCACCAAAAAGTTTCTTCTAAGTTAGACTAACAGTGGTATAACAAACATATATGGGACTTGTTTGGCAAACCTCTCCGAAAAATAGCACAGTTAATGAAGATTCGAAAATGGTACAAATCAGGTAATTTACCTCAACAGAGTAGGAGAAAAAAAATTCTTAGAGTGCAAGGGTGAAATTGGTCAAATTTCAGAATTACACTATTCAAATCATTTAGTGGGGAGTTAGCATATACGAGGGCGGTTCAATAAGTACCCGTGCTAGAAATGAAGACAGCATTTTTCCAAAAAAATTCTTTTCATTTTTCAATATAATCGTATTTCAGAAATATACACTTTTCCCAACGTTACTGTCATTTTTTTAAATCCCCGAAAAAATAGGATTTTACGAACTCTCCAAAATACGCCTGTTTCGGCATAACTTCCTCGTTTGGGCTAAATTTTTTCCCGCGAGTTGTTTCTTCATATCAGGGAACAAGAAAAAGTCCCACTTCATAACGCAATTCATGCAGTTTGGCGGCGACAACTCCGGATAAATGTGCTGGTGCTGGTGCTCCTTCATTTTTTTGTCGAAGCGGTCCAATAACTCTCTATAGTATTTTCCAGTGCCCGTTCTTCCTTTTTCTAAAAAATACACGAGAATGATGCGGTTCGCATCCCAAAAAATCGTCGCCATGACCTTTTTGGCCGATGGGACCGTCTTCGCCTTTTGTGGAGTAGATTCACGGGAAGAAATCCATTATTTTGATGGTTGCTACGTTCTGGTGTGTAATGATGAATCCAGGTTTCATCGACGGTGACAACTCGTCGCAAAAACTCCTTCGGATTTCGCTTAAATTGCTCCAAACAGTGCTTCGAAGTTGACAGCTGCATCCGCTTGTTGTCCACTGTGAGCAATCGCGGCACCCATCGGGCCGACAATTTTTTCATTGCAAACTCATCATGTGAAATATTGATTGCCATTCCATGCGGCACACCTACGGCATCTGCTACTTCGCGCACTTTCGTTTTTCGATCAGCGAGAATCATGTCGTGGACTTTTTGAATGATTTCCTCGCTAACCACGTCTGCCGGGCGTTCTGGCCAATCCTCATCACAAACTGATGTTCGCCGACGTTTAAATTCAGTTTACTAATATCTAACTATGGTCATAGATGGCTTCTATCACCTCGCATTTTTTCCCATCCAAAAACAAAAAGCGAATTACTGAACGATACTGCTCTTTTTCCATCTTAGCGAAAATCACGAAACACGTATTACTCGAATGGCTGCCAAATCCAAACTAACCTATCAATCGGTCTGAAATTTGTTGTGCCGTCCTTTGATAGATGGCAGCACACGATGATAACATCAACTTCCTCAGGAACGCCCTCTGTCATCAAACACGGCTACTTATTGAACCGCCCTCGTATTATTTTTCCTTGGGCGATAAAACCATATGAAGATATTGAAAATCTGACAAGGAACCATAATGATATATCGAGCAAATCTAGAGTAGAAATGGTACTTTAGGCTTTAGGCCTTTTAAAAGGAAGATGACGTATACATCTGAATGTCTATAGACATCTAAAGTCTGTCTACTGTATAGAAAGTTTCCGATGGGTCAAATGAGATTCAATTTATATCAGGCTGTCTATAGATCTGACATACAGACTCATAAGTAGATGTCTCTATTGAATGCAATTTTCTAAGTCGCGAGTTTGGTATTAGATTGAATTTTCAAAAACTAACACAAGATTTTTGAATGTATCGCTTTCTCTATTATCTTAGACAAGATTGACAATAGTGATATGGGGCTGATAGTTATGGTTTCTGATCGCAATCGACAGAAAAGGAGAACCAATTTAAACATACAGGAACCCCATTTGTAACTCCCCTGGTACACATACAGGATGTCCGCAAAGTTGGGGTTTTCCTTTCCAGAAACAACTACCCTTGAAATAACAAAGGTAATGTGTAGTGAAACAAAGGCGAACAAGTAAAAAAAAAAAATAGGAAAAAGTACTCACTATCCAGTTGACGAGAAGGGCTAAGTACGTCTCTGCCCGAAATCATACCGCTCCAACCGAAAATGAGCTACCGAGCAGACACCGGCGGTGGTGCAGGCCACGAACAGAGGTAACAAATAAGACGGCGTTGCCGCGTTTTCAGTTTTTAGGTGAACGTACTTTATAGGTATTGTTCGAAGTTATCGCCGTTTGATTCAAAAACACAGGTGCGTGCACGACGTAGCCAAGCATCGGTGCAACCTTTGAGAATGGAGTCCCTCCCTCGAATGAAAGCATCAGCTTGTTCAATTCTGAGACGAAGTTCGTCAACCGTAT